TCCACATTTACATTTCTAGAGACATTTTTGTGACAATGAGACCTGTGTAAGCTGTGGTGAGGAAGCCTGACCTGCCGTGGAGCTGGAGGCAAGGAGAAGCAGGACCATCAGGAGAGGGAGAGACATGTTAAGGTGTGTGGCGAGCCTTACACACGAGAGACCAACTAATGCCCCAAGATATGGAACCTGTTCACGCCCTGCCTCCCGTTTATATATGTGTGTGTGTGTGTGTTTGAGCCCAGGTGCTTCTTCCCACACATCAACACTCTTGGATTGTCGGAAAGCCTTTGACACAGTACCGCATAAGAGGCTGGTACATAACCTGGAGAGGCAGGCAGGTGTAGCTGGTAAGGTGCTCCAGTGGATAAGGGAGTACCTAAGCAATAGGAAGCAGAGAGTTACGGTGAGGGGTGAGATCTCCGATTGGCGTGGTCACCAGTGGAGTCCTACAGGGCTCTGTACTCGGTCCTATCTTGTTTCTGATATATGTAAATGATCTCCCGGAGGGTATAGACTCATTTCTCTCAATGTTTGCGGACGATGCCAAAATTATGAGAAGGATTACGACAGAGGAGGCTTCAAAAAGACCTAGACAAGCTGAAGGAATGGTGGAACAAATGGTTGTTGGAGCGGCGCTAAGGCTGGTCGTCTCTTTACCGACAAATGCAAGTGGTTGACATCTGAAGAGGAAGATGATAAACGATTTTGTTTATCTCCTGATTTTCTGGCACGTTTAACATGGTTTATGGCATCGTTGGGGAACACTGATTCACATCCCTGTTGTGATACACTCTACTGAAGCAGATAACCCACCATACTTGGGGAACACTGATTCACATCCCTGTTGTGATACACTCTACTGAAGCAGATAACCCACCATACTTGGGGAACACTGATTCACATCCCTGTTGTGATACACTCTACTGAAGCAGATAACCCACCATACACCATAATGTCTCCTGTCTTGCCCATGTACTGATTCGTTTCACCAGAGACGGGCAGCATTTATTAGGTTTATATAGAGATTCCTCCAAGGTCGAACTGAACCCCCCCCCCCCCCCGCCACTCCACAACAGTTACCTAACTCTCGGGTGCTTATTTACAGCTAGGTGAATAGTTGCATCAGGTAAAAGGAAAGGTGCCCAAAATTGCAACCATTTGTGTCCCACCCGAGATTCTAACCCGGGATTCCCGACAGTAAATCAAGAACGCACCCAACAGTCCTAAGAGACAAAGTATATCATGTTCTCACCATAATGTTCTATTATTATGAGATTTACCTAAGTTTACCTGAAGACCATCACCTCTAGTGGTCTTGACGGAGACAGGAAGCCGGCAGCTTGTCAAAGGTCCCCCCCATTACTCCCGAGGTTTATTCCAACTGAAATTTGAACTGCATTAATACTTTGATAGTTACGGCTTCGGCAGGTAGGCGGTTCTGTGGGTTTTTAACCCTATGGATGAAAAAGCATCTCGTTTTCTGCCCTACTTTGTGGCTTGTTGAGCATGACGCTGTTGTTCCTTCTAAGTTACATTGAACTTTTGAGAGAAATTATCTCGATTAACATCTTCCATTTTTGTAAATACTTAAAAGGTGAATGATTGTGTGTTATCAGTTTGTTTTTTGTTTTATTGCATGGTTATTCCTGTTTACAAAAAACTGATAACACACAATCATTCATCTTTAAATTGTCTATAAAAATGGAAGATGTTAATCCAGACCAGTTTTTTAAAAGGTTCAATGTTATCAGTTGATGGGAAGAATGTAATCTATGATGACAACGTGGTATGCTGTATGCCTCTTATGGCACTTATAGAACCCGACTGATAAATGTGGAACATTTCTGACTGAACAAAGACAGTATTTACAACACAACCGGCCATCCAAAAATGGTAGAACTTAAGACCAACTGCTCGTCTAACGTGCAAGAAAAGGACAGTTGTACACAAACGTAAATAAGTAAGTACTTACTTACGCACCAAGTAACTTCCCGGCTTAGTAAGTAACTTCCCGGCTTAGTAAGTAACTTCCCGGCTTAGTAAGTAATTTCCCGGCTTAGTAAGTAATTTCCCGGCTTGGTGCCTTTTTCTGATAATTATGTTCATCGACTCATTGACTAAGAACAGCGAACAGTTAATATATATTATTTTGTTATTTTGTCGGGGACAGGAAGCCTGCGAATGTATATACTACTTGTATGGCGTCCCCCAAGGCCGAACTACTTACTTACTAACCCCACAACCGTTGTCCAACTCCTGGGTTCCTAGTTACTGCTAGGTGAACAGGTGCATTGGGTGAAGAGAAAAAAACATTTCCAAACTATTTCTGTCCCGCCCGGGATTCGAACCCGGAATTCCGAGTCGAAAACGAACTAAGCTGTACTACCCACACTATGGTAATTCTCTTCTGCTGCGACTGGCCTCTGGCCCGCAGGGTACAACCCGTTCTCCTGGAAAGTACATCGCATTTTTAACGTATAGATCCCCTAAGGCCTACAAAAACTGATGTACTCAAATCATTGTCCATATCTTGCAAACTTGACGTGATGTCCTGTTTTCTGTTCGTGGGTCATCGGGTAGGTTAGGTTCGGACAATTTAGTACACCACTTTAATAACGTTGGGGCTGCTCGGAGGACGGGCTGCTGACTGTAGGTACTAAACCCTTCAGGGTATACAATGCTAAAACAAAAAGTTTTACCTTTCCTTGCGACCAATGCTACGTACTCTCACATAAACCCAATGTACCTTCTTGTATAAATAAATAAAATAAATATATAACCTTACGAGTGCTTTTTCATTTGTCTCTGATATACTATACAAAAAAATGGACAAAATATAATTGATGAACCAAGCAACGCCTAACTTAGCTTTAAATTAAAACCTAATTATGTAATAATAATTTGTACAAGATTAAAATAATGTTTATCACACCTTATGAGAAAAATTAACATGTGGCCATAGAGATTGTTGCTAAGATAACCAAACGCTCCCACACAGTTGATATAGCTTTGTTCTTATACTCGTTTTTATAACACTTTTTATATAAAATTTTATTATATTAATATCGAGACGTGAGTTTATAGATGTATATCACTTTACATTTAATTTTACGTGACACGTCTATCAATGGTAAAGTAGCATTTATTTCAGTGTATATGGCATAGCTTGATAGCATAATCTTATGTAGCAATGGGAACCATAACATAGGGAGCGGGTGTCAGTGTAGAGTATGATGAGGGTGTGGGAGACCCCACCTGACGCACTCCTCTTCATTGTTAATGCTAACTCATTGTACACTCTATACTGCTCCACCTCCTGTTCTTGGTCCTTGTCCTCCTGCTCCACCTGTTCTTGGTCCTTGTCCTCCTGCTCCACCTGTTCTTGGTCCTTGTCCTCCTGCTCCACCTGTTCTTGGTCCTTGTCCTCCACCTCCTGTTCTTGGTCCTTGTCCTCCACCTCCTGTTCTTGGTCCTTGTCCTCCTCCTCCCATTTCTCATTCTGGCTCCTTTTCCTGCTCCTAGCCATCCTCCACCTGCTGTTGCTGCTGCTTCTCCATCCTCCACCTGCTGCTGCTCCCCATCCTCCACCTGTTGCTGCTGCTGCTTCTCCATCCTCCACCTGCTGCTGCTGCTGCTTCTCCATCCTCCACCTGTTGCTGCTGCTGCTTCTCCATCCTCCACCTGCTGCTGCTCCCCATCCTCCACCTGTTGCTGCTGCTGCTGCTGCTTCTCCATCCTCCACCTGTTGCTGCTGCTGCTCCCCATCCTCCACCTGTTGCTGCTGCTGCTTCTCCATCCTCCACCTGCTGCTGCTCCCCATCCTCCACCTGCTGCTGCTGCCCCATCCTCCACCTGCTGCTGCTGCTGCTGCCCCATCCTCCACCTGCTGCTGCTGCTTCTCCATCCTCCACCTGTTGCTGCTGCTGCCCCATCCTCCACCTGCTGCTGCCCCATCCTCCACCTGCTGCTGCTGCTTCTCCATCCGCAGGGCAGCATACTTGGCCCTCTCCTCTTTCTCATCTACATTAATGACCTTCCAAATGCCTCCCAACACCTCAAACCAATTCTATTTGCTGACGACACAACCTTCATTTACTCCAGTCCTGACCCCCTTGCTCTAAATGCCACAGTAAATACTGAGATAAATAAAGTCCATCTTTGGCTAACTGCCAACAAACTCACCCTTAACATTGACAAAACTTTCTATATTCTGTTTGGCAATAAATCCTCTAATCAAATAAATCTCAGAATTAACAATACCCAAATTTGTAACAAATTAGATGGCAAATTCCTTGGCGTTCTCATTGACCATAAGCTGAATTTCCAGGGACACATTCTAAATATATCAAAAAAAGTTTCAAAAACTGTTGGCATTCTTTCTAAGATCAGATATTATGTACCCCGCCATGCCCTGGTGACGCTCTATTACTCCCTCATCTATCCACATCTCAACTATGGTATTTGTGCTTGGGGTTCTACTACCCAAAATCATTTACGTCCTCTAATTACTCAACACAAAGCTACCATTAGGACAATATCCAACTCTGGCCCTAGACATCACTCGGTACCCCTACTCAAATCTCTGAATATGTTAGATATTAAGTCACTGCACATTCTCTCATGTGTATTATACATATATAAAACGCTGAACTGTAATGCCAATCCTGACCTCAAAAGCTTCATAGAAGGTTGTCAACAGAACCCTTGAGCACCACACCAGAAATAAATACAGTTTTGATATTCCAAGAGTATGACTTAATCAAACTAGAAATGCTCTACAAATCAAGGTACCCAGTGTGGAATGACCTTCCCAACCATGTTAAAGACTGTACCTCTCTCAACCAGTTTAAGATAAAAACGAAGCACTACCTAATAAAATCCCTGTAACCCACCTTACCCCCTCTATTGTCAACCCATGTCTGTTTTCTTAAAGAACGCTGTTTGTCGACCTATTTGTATTTGTGCTGCTTTTTCAGCCATGTTTCCCCCTTTTTTATCTTTATTTTTATTTGTTCTCAACACATTTTATTCTTTATACTCATTTAGTATTAAGTATTAGTCATTAATGTTTTTCCTGCCCGAAACGCTTTGCGTAATAGTGGCTTTAGGCATTGTATGTACTAGCTCTATCTATAAATCTATCAATTTATGTAAAATCTCTTGTATGTATGTACCTTACCTGAATAAACATTTTTTTTTATTTTTTTTATTATCCTCCACCTGCTGCTGCTTCTCCATCCTCCACCTGCTGCTTCCCCCATCCTCCACCTGCTGCTGCTGCTGCTGCTTCTCCATCCTCCACCTGTTGCTGCTGCTTCTCCATCCTCCACCTGCTGCTGCTGCTCCCCATCCTCTTCCTACTATTCCCCATCTTCCTGGTGTTTACACTGTTCCTCATCCTTCAGCTATTGCTATTTACAAATTAGCCAAAAAATAGCCGATTAGTCCGGGCTGTGAGGACCTCGACCCCGGGAATCAATGCAAGGTATTGCTGTATACAACTTTGTTCTGATATGTTAAGGCAGAGGGACAGTTTCACAATGAACAGACAAATGAGAAACATTTGTACAGTCAATAGGCTGGTGATGGTTGGAGGTATAGCATCGAGAAACACTAAACAATTATGATATTCCAAGGAAAATTTTACTTTAATAAACATTGATACAACCATATCCTTGTTAGAAGAGCACCACAAGCAAAATTATTTTGACAACTGCAGAGTGAATGCTTCTTGAACACGTGCTTGACTGGCATCCACGAAGGTGATGAATGACAAATATTGCAGTTTCAAAATAGGAAGATTATGTTTTCTGATATTTTCTAAAATTACATGTAAGCATCCCCCAAACTTGGCTATAACAAAGTATAATACTAGAGCAACACAATTACCTACCACAAAAAATATTTAAAAATTAACATTTGTCTTTCTGTATCCCGAGAAGTATACAGTTTACAGAATGTCAGGATTATCAGTCTTACTTCTCAGTAATTTTGGACTTGACAAACTCTCCAAACTTCTCAGCATGTGCCCCATTGAGTTCCTCATACCCATCTATAGTTTCTTTGCATCGCTTAAGCCAAGCATGAAGGTTTGGATAGTCATGGATGATGAACCCCGCTGCTTCATATCCAGAGACATTGCTCACAAGGACGAGGTCAGCAACAGTTATGTGGTCCGTCCCAGCAGCAAACTTCTTGTGGCTCAAGAAGCCATCCAACCAATTCAGTGCCTCGTGGAGGTCATCCACACTCTTTTGGGTTGGCTTCGACAGCTCTCCTGCTTTCAATGGGTTCTAAACAAAGGAAATAAAAACATGTGTGTGAATAAAACAGCATTACTGGGTTGACAAAAAAAAAAGGTACAAAGAACCACTAGAAAGAATAATCACAGGCAGAGTAAATTCATATAATTTTCAAACTAGAATTGATTATTTATAGCATAAAGTATGAGTCTTGTGCTCGACTACCCTCATCTAATTATTATTAATGGTAATTATATATCGAGATGCAAATTAGATATAGTGAATGGTAATACTACGTGACAGTGCAGGCGATGAGTCACAATACCGTGGCTCAAGCATGTTAACCAGACCACAAACTAGAAGGTGAAGGGACGACGACGTTTCTGTCCGTCCTGGACCGTTCTCAAGTCGATTGTGGCTTGTCGTCGTCCCTTCACCTTCTAGTTTGTGGTCTGGTCAACACTACATGACAGTGTATGAGCATGCAAGTGCAGACAATGGAACGTGCAAGCATGTTTAACAGTGTACTCTCCTAGTTGTGCTTGTGGGAGTTAAGCTTTGGCTCTTTGGTCCTGCCTCTTAACTGTCAATCAACTGGTGTACAGATTCTGGGGCCTACTGGGCTTTATCATATTTGAAACTGTGTATGGAATCTGTCTCCACCACACCACTTCCTAATGCATTCCATTTGAGTGTATTCATTTAGCTGTATTCACATAATTGTCCTTGTGGGGATCTAGCTCTGCTCTTTCGGCCCGCCTCTTAACTGTCAATGAACTGTTTCTACTACTATTTTTTTTTTTTACCCCACACCACACTACACACACACCCCAGGAAGCAGCCCGTGACAGCTGACTAACACCCAGGTACCTATTTACTCCTAAGTAACAACAGGGGCATAGGGGTGAAAGAAACTCTGCCCATCATTTCACGCCGGCGCCCAGGACTGAACCCGGAACCACAGGATCACGTGTCCAGCGTGCTGTCTGCTCAGCCACCAGATCCCATTGTGTAATGAAATCAGGTACTTTTTTGTTTTACTTTTGAATAAGGTATAGGTTGAATTTTTTTTTAATTCATTAGAGAGCATGTTCCATAGATGGTCTTTTTATTAATATAGTGTGTTTGAACAGATTTAGTCTGACTCTAGGATTATCAAAGATACTTATTTCTAGTGTGGTGCTCATGGGTTCTATTACTTCTATCAAGCAAGAGTTTCAGATCAGGATTAGCATTTAGGAATAAGATTTTATACATGTAAATAGCAAAAGACTGAATGGAGTACGTGTATGTTTAGCATGTTTAGAGTTTTAAACAAAGGGGCTGTGTGTTGTCTGAAGACAAGAGTTTGTTATGGTTCTGATAGCAGATTTTTGCTGGGTGGTGATGATGGGGTCTGAGGTAATTTGCAGTGGTTGAGCCCCATGCACAAATACTGTATGTTACATAAGGATATCTATTCTCATCTTATTTCATTATAAAATGAGCTTATTTCAGAACAGTTTCTTATTTATGTTATAATTAATAATTCACTGTGTTGGGGGACAGGAAGCCAGAGTGTATTCATACATGTTTGGGTTTTATCGAGGTTACCCCCCTCCCCAAAGGCTGAATTACAGACCCCGCCTATGATGCAACCTCACTCCTAACTAACTGCTGACTAACTCCTAAGTACCTACTCACTGCTAGGTGAACAGAGGCATTAGGTGAAAGGAAATGTGCCCAACTATTCCTGTTCCGCCCGGGATTCGAACCCAGAATTCTCAATTGTGTGTCAAGAACGAACCCGACTCTACTATCAGGACCCTAACTGGGTCATACATTCAGAACCACCATGAAAAAGAAAATGTTATATTTCTTATACATTTACATAATTCTGGAATGTATGGGTAGTTTGGAGTTGCATTATAGGGAGTACACATTCCCCCAATTCTGAGCCCATGTTCTTGAGAGAACTTCAGGCTGGACTACGTATTCTCCAGTGTGCCCCCATTACTATACTAGTAATTACCTAAGTGAAGTTACAGGATGAGAGCTACGCTCGTGGTGTCCTGTCTTCCCTGCACTGTCATATAACGCTTTGAAATTACCAACTATTTTGGCCTCGACCTCCTTCTCGCCTAACTTGTTCCAACTGTCTACCACTCTGTATGTATGACCAACAAGTATGGTTAATATGACCCAACACATATTGATTGTTCTCGTCATGTTAGTGGAGAATGTGCATACACATTCTGTAGAAACAGCAGGACCTTGTTTGCCTAAGGTAGCAGGAGTGTGTTTTAGTTCAAATAAAACAAAACAAATTCAAGTCCTAGCTGGGGACTGATATCAAAGTTCATGAAAAATGAACATTAAAATTAATCAAATCCTATAACATTGAATGTACTTTGTTGATACAGTGTACTAGTATTGTATTTTTTGTATATTTTTTTTAAAACTTGATAATGTTCTAATCTCACATTAGAGGCCAAAAACTGAACTGTCCCATTTTTCATAGCCTGTAAAGACTCTTCACTTTGTCACTAAATTCGTCAACAACTTCCTCTCTAGGGGAGCCGGTCGGCCGAGCAGACAGCACACTGGACTTGTGATTCTGTGGTCCCAGGTTCGATCCCGGGCGCCGGAGAGAAACAATGGGCAGAAGTTTCTTTCATCCTATGCCCCTGTTACCTAGCAGTAAAATAGGTACCTGGGTGTTAGTCAGTTGTCATGGGCTGCTTCCTGGGGGTGGAGGCCTGGTCGAGGACCGGGCCGCGGGGACACTAAAGCCCCGAAATCATCTCAAGATAACCTATACCCTTTAATAACATATACAGTACAGTACTCACAAACAAGATTTTCCAGCGGGTTGCCAGAGTACCAAGATCAAAGTTCAGAATGGCATCCACCTTGGCTCTGGCTTTGGGGTCCTTTGGGTAAAGCGAGTCATCCTTACCATATTGTGAGATGAGGTAGGTGCAGATGGCACGGCTGAAACAAATACATCATTTCTTATCTGTGATGGATATAATTCAATTATATGAAGTTTTTTTTTAATATATAGATTAGAGGAAAGAAGATCTGAAAATTACCATTATATGGTTTATTATTACTATTTACAGTCAGCCCTAGCTGTGTAGACTGTATGAATTCCAAGAAAACCTCGGTGCCTTTAAATTCACCAAAACAGCTAATACAGTACATGTATTGTAATACTGTAATGTATGGGAAAATAAGAATGCAGTCCAAACACTTCTCAAGTCTACTAATTTTCACCACTCAATAAAACACCTTTCTAAAATACTTTACCAAGTCTTGCTGCCACTTCCCAGCCACAAATACTATATCTATCTGAATTTTAAGAAATTGGTATACATCAATGATGTAGAGGAGAGTAGTCATTATTTATTTATTTTATTTATTTATATATACTGTATGCAAGAAGGTACATTGGGTTTATGAAAGTACATAGGATTAATGTCTTTGCATTCTTGTAAACCTACTAACACGCACAGCATTATGGGGAGGTCCTTAATCTAACAGATAATTTTAAGTAGGTAATTTCTATCAAAATTGAACAAATGTTAACAAGTGCAATACATTGTAACAAAATATGACAAAGATTAGTATGTACATTATAGTAAATTTTGAGTATTATCAACAGGTACATTGTAGCATAATTTGAGGATTATTTCAAGGTGTAATGCAGTAAAATATTCATTCAGTACGACAAGCATGATATAAGATGATAGCAATGATTACAGTGGTGAAGTTGTATAGCTTAGGTACATATATTGGGGGATTGGGTAGCACTAGATACAGTATGAGTTTAAGTCACTAGGTAGGAAACTGAGGATGAAATTAGGTACTTTTTGTTTTTATTTATGAATAAGGCAAAAGTTGAACAGCTTTTCAAATCGTTAGGGTGTGAGTTCCATAGACTAGGTCCCTATATCTGCATAGTGTTTACACAGATTATCTTTCGTTTTATGATGGAACCACAAAAAGACACACACACACACATATATATATATGAGACACTATCTCAAAGGGTCTTAAATTGTGGAATTGGAATGACCTTTCTAATGCAATAAAATTTTGCACTTCTCTTAACCAATTTAGAAGATAAAGAAATACCTAATTAACATGTACCAAAAGTTTCACATTTTTTCATACTAAATAAGACAGTTTGTGTTTGCTGTTAATGTGAACAATGCTCTGTACTGATATTATGGTTTCCTCTAAAGCGACACTCTACAAGTATCTAACCATTTAATTATTAATTATCATTTAAAAAACTATTTACTATATTTTTTAATCATTAATACAAGCCAAATTCACAAAAGTATTCAGTACTGTATTACAGTACTATAAAAATTTTAAATTAAAATCGCTCATTATCTTGAGTTATGCCAAAAATGCTACAGTATCAAAATACTGTAACTACCAAACCATTGTAATCTGATCTTGTGTATCTTATAAATAATTTATTATTATTATTATTATTATTACAGTATTTATGCCAGGTATATGTGTATGTTTTCATTACTAAAGTAAAACATACTAAAGCAAAACATACCATTATCAATTACAGTACAGTACAGGGTACTGTATTTATAATACACAAATTGCCTTTAATGATTTTTAGTGATCTCACCTTTCCCAGAGGACGAGGTCACCATCGACCATAGTGGGGATAGTGTGCTGGGGATTGATGGCAACAAACTCGGGCTTCAGGTGATCTCCGGTCATCAAGTTGATCGTTTTGAGGTTGAGTTCCAGTCCGATTGCCCTGGCAGTTAGCAGCACAGAGCGGCAGTAGGGTGACAGGGGCATGTAGTAGAGGTCAACTGGCATTGTGGCACTATTTTTGAGGGTACTCACGATGTAGTAATTATTTTATCTGTAATATAAGAAATAATAATGTTTGTTGCACTGAATTATTTCCATTACAAATAATATTAACAGGAACACAATACTGTATATCACGTAACACATTTATTTATTTATTTATTTATATACAAGAAGGTACATTGGGTTTGTGAGAATACATTGGATAGTACAGTATTTACATTCTTGTAAAGCCACTAGTACGCGCAGCGTTTCGGGCAGGTCCCATTTTGTTTCTTGCCAAGTAACTTCAAATTGATTTAAGGCCTTAGATACCAGAAATGCTAAATAATCAATAATAGCCATATGCCAACACTTAGAGATTTAATATATAATATAGATTTATGTAATCTATGTATTTATTAATTTAAAAATGGGAAAAAATCTGTTGTACTGCAGACCCAAGCCAGGACCTGTTCTACTCAATAGCAGCACAGAGCGGGAGATACTAGATGAACAGAGAAGGTCCCGGTAGTACAGTACTTCGCTAAACTGTACAACCGGAACCCCTGTCGGTACTCACTGCTAGGTGAACACACACATTAGGTGAAAGGAAATGTGCCCAACCATTACTGTCCTGCCCGGGATTCAAACATTTCAATAAGTCCCTATAATAATAATAATAATAATAATAATAATAATAATAATTTATTTGCAAGTATAATGGGTTGTCAAGATTACATAAGAGGTATTTTAACATTCATGCAAAGTCACTAACACACACAGCATTTCAGGCGGGTCCTTAATCATACCTGATAACATATCAGATATGATGAAAGGTACATTGTAGTAAGGTTACTATCTCAGCTCGAGCATTGTGTGCCAAGTTATCAATTGAATTGATAGTCAGCTCAATGCACGCAAGACAGCCAGCAACAGCAATGCACGCAAGACAGCCAGCAACAGCAATGCACGCAAGACAGCCAGCAACAGCAATGCACGCAAGACAGCCAGCAACAGCAATGCACGCAAGACAGCCAGCAACAGCAATGCACGCAAGACAGCCAGCAACAGCAATGCACGCAAGACAGCCAGCAACAGCAATGCACGCAAGACAGCCAGCAACAGCAATGCACGCAAGACAGCCAGCAACAGCAATGCACGCAAGACAGCCAGCAACAGCAATGCACGCAAGACAGCCAGCAACAGCAATGCATGCAAGACAGCCAGCAACAGCAATGCACGCAAGACAGCCAGCAACAGCAATGCACGCAAGACAGCCAGCAACAGCAATGCACGCAAGACAGCCAGCAACAGCAATGCACGCAAGACAGCCAGCAACAGCAATGCATGCACACCAGCCAGCAACAGCAATGCACGCAAGACAGCCAGCAACAGCAATGCACGCAAGACAGCCAGCAACAGCAATGCATGCACACCAGCCAGCAACAGCAATGCACGCGCCAGAGATTGGCAACCATTCAAGAATGCACTAATTTGCACTTGATATTCTAATTGACAAATGTGCTGTTGGTGGCGGCCGTGTGGGTGCATTGCTGACACGTTCGCTATCCGTGCACGGATAGTGTACGTGTCCGTGCATGGCTCGTGTGGGTGACCTCGTGTACGGCCCGTGTGAGTGACCTCGTGCACGGACAGTGTACGTGTCAGCGTGCATGGCCCGTGTGGGTGACCTCGTGCACGGACAGTGTACGTGTCAGCGTGCATGGCTCGTGTGGGTGACCTCGTGCACGGACCGTGTACGTGCCAGCGTGTACGGCCCGTGTGCACGGTGGTGGGTGCCGGCTACCACGGTGGGTGGCGTCCAACTGGACGGTTGGTCACCAACCACCTGACTCCAGCCCACCACCAAGTCCACCTCCACACACACTACCACTAACCACCTTCCACTTGGGTGGAGTACATATATACAATATGCACTACACACCTGGTAAGAAGCACTATGGACACACCTGGTGACAGCGGCAGACAGCGCATATGTGAGAGAATGTACATGTGACCTTCCCGGTCTGGGACTTCTTACGTCTGGCACCCCCGCTCGCCACCAACATGTTTAACACTTTCCATATACAGTTATAATATAATTAATGGTGACAAATGTGTTCTTTATGCCAAATATTTCTTGGTTATTGCTAACGTCTGATTTCTTGTCTGAATGCTTATGATACTGATTTGTTTTTGTTATTTGAATATAACGTAGTTATTCAACATTCTTGTGAAGTTTGAACTGCTTCAGGGGACTGAACTTACCACAATGCATCGTGTTTATCAGTACAGTATAATGTTAAATTTACGTATAATAGCTATGCTTATTCCAAGATTATTCAAAGAGTACGACTTAAACTAGAAATGCTCTACAAATTAAGGGACCCAGAATGGGTAATGATCTTCCCAATCATGTCAAAGGCTGTACCTCTCTCAACCAATTGCTTAATTGCTCTCCCAACCAGTTGCTTAATTTAGAACCTGTACTTGAGGTCGATCTCGAACCCATTGTTGATGTGACTACTTATATTGAATTTTGTAACTAGCTCATCAAGATTGTAACTTGCTTAGCTAAATGAATTGTGGGGTTCAGTCCCTGAGCTCATTAAGTACCTTTGTAACCCTTTCCACTACCGCCCACAAGATGTGTATGGGGTGCATAATAAATGAACTAAACTAAACTCTCTCAACCAGTTGAAAACTAAATACTACCTAGTAAACGCCATGTAACATACCTTACCCCCTAAATGTCAACCCATGTCTTGCTATTTTAAACAGTTTATTTTCTGCCATATTACTCCCCCCCCCACCCTTTTTTTCAGTACAATTTATGCTTTAAGCTCAATTACTATTAAGTTTTAGTCTAAGTTTTTTTTTCCCTCGCCTTGCCCGAAACGCTATGCATATTAGTGGCTTTAAGTATTGTATGTACTAGCTCTATCTTTAAATACCAACATTATATTTGTAACTCATCTTCAATGTATGTACCTTTACCTGAATAAAAAATCTAATCTAATCTAAAAAAAAATTGTGTTTCACATATAACAGAACGCTAGTTTTTGCTGTGCTAATTGACGCTTGTTTGTTGTAGAGAATAAGTCAATAAAACAACTGTGATGTTTGTGTGCTGGATGACCTTGGACAGTGGCGGGGTATAACGGATGTATTATTGTTCTCTCGAGTTGTCACAACGGATGTTTTTATTTATTTATTCATTTATATATATATACTAGAAGATACATTGGGTTTCTGAGAGTAGATAACATTGATGTTTTTACATGTTGGCGACGCCCACTATGCTATACCAACTGCAGGGCGTACTGGCCTGCATGTACCACACACCCTCTATTATCACTATGTCTGCCTGTCACACGTCTTTATGCGTTTCCCAAAAATATTACAACATACCTGTAGGGAGCCCACAAAAGATCAGCATCATGATTGAACCCAGTTAGAGCCCCGCTCCTGTGCCAGGTAAGTCCACTACGGGCTCACCATAGCCCGTGCTACTTATCAATTTTTTGTTCCCAGTAGCTGAATCTAAAACAACAACATGGAACCCATGGAAAAGATTAAGGTAAATGGGGGGAACCTTCAACAAGTCGCCGTTCCGTTAGTCGCTCTTCATATCCCATAACTCGTAATTCTGGGGCGAATCTCGTCTCGAACTTCTAAACTTTTTAAAGTTCCTTTATGTGTTTCTTCTTGTGGGGACTCCATGATGGGACTGCATACTCTAAGACAGAACTCACGTAGCAGTATAAAATACCCTAAATGCCTCCTCACTTACGTTTCTGAATGATGTTCTAACGTTTGCTACCATAGAGTACTCTGTTGTCATAATCCTATTTGTGTGTCTCAGGAGTTAGATTAGATGTTATAGCCACTCCCAGGTCTCTTTCTCGAATTGTCACAGGTAGGCAGTTCCCCTTCATTGTGTACTGTCCCTTTGGTGTCCTATCACCTAATAGGTGATAGGAGACCGCAAGGTGAGTTGTTACAAAATTTTTTTACTCAAATGCCAAAGATCATTTGCCTCTTAATTTAAGTTGTTAATAGTGGTGGGTTGTTGCTTTACCTGTGACTTACTCAGTAGGTATTCTTAGTTGTATGTTGATTTTGGATCTCACCTTGTTCCCCCCTTGCCTCTTTCAAGGAACCTGATTTTGGCTCTGGTTCCCGGTAGGCCACGCAAGTCTAGAGACCTGATATGTCTGAGGGGCTCTGTGGTACCAACACTTAAGCTTCAGGGAACTATCAAGTGGGTTATCAACAGTAAGTAATTAATTATCAAAAGAAGGCGCCAAACCGAGAAGGCTATGTAGCACCATCAAATGTGCAGAATAATCAGAGGGCGCTAAATATCACCAAGGATGCCAATACGAGAACAGAAACACATAAGGCAAACGATATCAAAAGTATCCGATTCACCAAGAATTCTATCGACGGACAAGCGACTGCAAGGGACGATCGGAAAACAAGACACACGCTCGTCCTGGAAGTCAGGACATTCAACAAGGATATGCACGACCGTAAGAGGGACAATGCAATTTGGACAATAAGGAGCAGGGCGGCGCTCCATTAAGTGACCGTGAGTTAAGCGTGTATGGCCAATACGTAACCTCGCCAGAGCCATTTCCCATCACCGGTTACGGTGGCAGGAGGACGGCCATGAGGACACACGACTCTTAAGAGTACGCAGTTTGTTACCAGTAACAGAAGACCAACAATTCTGCCAACGGGTAAGGATGGAGGAATGAATAACTGGGTAAAAGTCGGAATAAGGAATACCTTTACGAGAGATGGGACGAGCAGACAGCTTCTCTAGCAGCAGCATTCGTACGCTCATTTAAAGACACACCAATATGGCTGGGAACCCAGCAAAACTCAGCCGACTTAAATTTACTGAAAATACAAAACAGCAACAGTAAGCAAAAACAGTTTGTGCTATTTGAGTCTGCAAAGGCACACTTCCTTCCTAGAGAACATTTACTTTCATTTTGCCAGCAATTCTCTACAGTACTGTAATTGGGAAAGGATAAAAAAAGTACCAAGTAAGTAGAATCTTGTATATTTACATATAAATAAAAGTGGTAGGTTCACAACCTCTTAATCTTTGTATGATCAAGAAATAAGTAGATGATTTTTTTACATAATGGCTGACCACATGAAACGAGATGCTGTGTGGGGTTAATCTATGGTTTTGATTCTGGTTTATATCTGGACAGTGTGTGTGTTGGAGCAACTGGCAACATTCTTTTGTTCATCCTTTTGTTTATACAACTTACATCTGTAACAGTTTAAACAAGAATTTACATTTTTTACAAGAATATCACACCAAAACGATTTAATACACCCCAGTCCCATCAAATATTCAAGACAGGAGGAGAATATGAAATGAGTAAATAGTGAAGGCTCCATCACAACAGTGGCCAGGCCGACTTCGGCAGTGAGCACACATGCCAAAAAGAGGAAATGACAAGGTAGAGGGTAATCTGGTGCTTTGTAAAACTTCAGGGGGAAGGAAGTCGGTCTATTATACAGTGGAAAAATATGCATACACATGCTGCATTAGCAAAATACATATGACACATGGTAAGGCCCTCACTGCAACCAATGGCATAAACAAAAATAAGTTGAATAAATAACTTGGATTAGTGATAAGAGACGAGGGGAGGTGGGTAGGGGGATAATCTGGAATGTATGGAATGTCAAGTCTTTGTAAATACAGCTCAGCTGGTCTCAGGCTTTAGATAAAGGCATTATGATATACTGTACATTCATCAGCAATTTAAAATATATTGATTTTACGGATACTAATGACTGTGACCTCATTCACTGAGAAAGTTTCCAAAGTGTGTCCATTTTGGCAAGATTTTTGATCCATTGTCAATAGTAATTGTTGACCTTAAAAAAATTAATAAGTAACAGTTTTACAAGTACAGTTATTTGATATACTCATCTAAATGAATATAATGCTAACTACAGGTAAGCATCATCAATCCCAGACCATCTTCATTATCAACCCTGAGCAAACTATACCACCAACCCCAACCCAGACCATCTGGATCATCACTCAACCCCAAGCCAGCTATGTCATTAACCCTGAGCCAGCTATATCAACCCCAGACTAGCTTCATCATCAACCTCAGGCCAGCTGATCTGTCACAAACACATTCCTCTTCTCATACACATCACTATATTCATTACCTCATAAATAAAATAAAAGTATGCTTATATTTTACAAGAAACATACCAAGAACTTGTTAAAAGATTTTTACACAAAGTCCATGTACAATTACAATATCCAGTTACCTATTGAAGATTTAAAAAATACACCTTCTACTATATGACAATGTAAGGCTGTGGTTACTTAGTAGAATCACTGTAAAAGAAGATTTTATATATTATCACAACACACCCACATTACAAAGATGCGTTACTTTACGATGATCGCTGCCTCTGCAACGGTGTCCCCTTCCAGTTTTCAGCCTATAAACTATTACTTTTTCAAACACATCTTAGTGACAATGTTTTCTATCAGACAGTTAATATTATTTGTTCCTGTCTTGTCCAACACTTGACTTCAAAACATATTCCTAGCAACTCCCACCATATCTAAGTTCTCATGTTAATTGATTTATAAAATGAATTAACATTTCTCAAGTTAAGAACACTTAAAGAGAGGAATTATTGTCTCAAAATTCTTTACTGTATCTAACAGGGAATTCTTATTGTTTATTTCCTGTTGACACTGCAGTCTTCTACAGAAGTGTTAAAAGTGTAAAATTCCGATATTTCAAAGACGAAAGCATTTCACAGACATTCAAGCCTTGTGATGATAATGTGCATTGCAAGTCAGCCACAGGAGGTTCGCCAAAAATATTTGGGGTTTAAAGACAAAAACCTAAAATGTTAATAAAAAAAAATAAAAAAAGTTTTTACAAGTTTATATAAGAATAAATAATAAATCCAGAGAACATCAGTGTTGAAACATGCTCGTCTTCTAGTGTTCTATCTTATGAAGACATACTCTTATTAACCATCATAAAGCC